TTTCATAATTAAATATACAATAAAGAAAAAAAAATATATGGAGGGATCAACCCAAATTACCGAGGGAAGCTCACCACCCACTCCCTTTAACGGCTTCCCAGTGCGTTGATGGGCCTTCCCTCGTCTGTCAGTGTTTTACAGGTCCGGGTGTAAAGTGCGAGGCCAGGGGCACGTGGTCGCCCGTCCTCACCCGCTATGGCCTCTGCTATACCTATTCGGGTCAGTTCTCGACGATAATGGCAAGCACGTAGCACTGATGGCAATGGAAACAAGCATAATTGTTGTTATAACTGTTTTATTATTGTTATTGTTATTATTATTATCATTGTTATTGTTATTGTTATTATTATTATTATTATTATTATTATTATTATTATTATTATTATCATCATCATTATTATTATTATCATTATTCTTAGTATTACCATTATTATTATTATCATCATTATTATTATTATTATTATCATTATCATTATTATATTATTATTATTGTTATCATTATCATTATTATTATCATTATTATTGTTATACTATTATTATTGTTGTTATCATTATTATTATATTACATATATGATAATGATAATAGTAATTATTATTATCATTATTATAATTATTATTGTTATTATTGCTATAATTATATTACATAAAAAGGATAAAGGTAATGATTATTATTAGTGGTAATAGTAGTAATATGATGATAATAATTTCTGTTATTATCATAATTAAAATCATTATAACTAATATTATTGTCATTATTATTATTATGATCATTATTATTATTGTTATAATAATAATTATTAATACCATTGTCATTATTATTATCATCATTATTATTAATAGTAGTAGTAGTAGTAGTAGTAATAGTAGTATCATTATCATTATGATTATCATCATTATCATTTTCATTGCTATTATCACTGTCATAATTGTTATTTTTATCACATCATCACATTATCATAACTGTTATAATAATTACCAATGTTATGATTATCATTATTACAATAACCACTACTGCTATTATTATTATTATTCATAATATTTATGAATAATTATCATTATTATCATCACCATCACCATCACCACCACAATCACTATTAGCATCATAAAACCACCTAGCCAGCGTGCCCCATTCGCACACCTCCAGGAGCTTCCGTGAGAATGGGCGGCAAGCTGTTCGGAGTGTACATGAGGCTGAGTTACCGAGGGCATCCTTATGGCTACAACTTCGGAGGATATACTGTAAGAACAATGGGTATTAGTTTTATTGGCGACTTAAGAACAACCCAAAAACTTGTTAAACAATTCTGAAAGATCTGCGATTCTTTTAAAGATATATTGTACTTGACCCAAGTGTAGCTGATTAAAACATACATGCGTTAGTATACGAACATGTGTTTTTCATGGTAGCAGCTAATTGTGCGTTGACAAGAAGTTAATCAACACTAAATGCCTTGTTCATGGCTTAACTTTTTTAGCCATTTTAGCTAAGTGAATTATAACTAAACGTGTAAAGCGTAAAGCGCTCATCTGTCAGACACTAATCATTATCAACGAAGCTCAGTGGTCCTGATCTAAGGGTAGTGTTACAAAGTGGAGGTCTGGTCATTGCAGCGTTAACATTAATGACTCAGCTCAACCAATGACTTCTAACACACAGTGGTAATATAGGCCATTCCTTTGCATTCTAATTTCTACGTCTCCTGAATTTTCAAAAAGCCCAGCTGACACGTACGTCTTGGGTGAAGGAGAGGAGAGCCGATTCCTTGTAAAGCGAGGTTCGTCCTGTAGCCGCCGCTCTACGTCCTTGAAGCAAAATGAGTACAGTCTAGGCCCAAGGATATTGCGTGAGACAGCAGCAGCTCCAGAATTTGTTCATATGTTAAATGCTGTCAAGAAACGAACTTAAGAAATTACAACTGTCACGTAACATATTAATTCAATTCTCCGGTTCACCAGTAATGCTAAAGTCCTCATAGGCAGTATGAATATATTGTTTGCTAATTCCCCTATCAGAATAATTTAAATTAGACTAAGTATTTACTGTAGTTGCCGATTTCCTTTACAAAACTACGGGCAAGTACGTTTTTTGTCTGTAAACATTATACAGCAACAGTCTCGTTAGCTTTAAACCGCTAGCCAAAGTAGTATCAGGAAAGTAAAAATTGTTCTAGCATATACAAGATCAGTGTAAGAGTCATTCAGGCTTTGGTAAACATATTCTCATAACCATTAAATCACATTAAACCGTACCATGCAACGTTAATGGAAGACTCGAAATTGAAATTTACTGAAACATATAAATAATATGACACATCTAAAAAAAAGAAAAAAAAAGAAAAGAAAAAATCAGACTTTAAAAACTACACCAAAATAACTACAATAATTACCCTCGTTTCAGGTCGCCGTCCACAACCCTCTGGTCCCCGTCACCCAAGCCATAGAAAACGGATTCAACTGTATGCAGAAACTCACGAAGAACAAGAAGAAACTGGGATGCCACCGCCTGATACTCGTTGCCTTTCAGGTCAGCCTGGAGATGATAAGATTGATAGAGAGATATATGAAAAAATAAATAAAGAGAAACGTAGAGATTGAGGAACAGCGGGGAGGGGGAGGAGGGGTACGGAGGAGCAGATAGTGAACGGGCGCACTATGCTATTCTCTAATTTTTCCAAACGTTTTTCAAAATAACGAAAACCTATTACTGCTACTACCACTACTATTTCTGTTTTTATTACTACTGCAACTGCTACTAGTACTGTGATAATAATAATGATGATGATGATAATGATACTACTACTACTCATGATGATGATGATGATGATGATGATTATGACGATGATGATGATAGTAGTAGTAGTAGTAGTAATATAATTATAATACTAATGATAATGATAATGGCAAACACAACATCGACAGAAAAAAACTATACCATTATTTCTATATTGAGTTAAAGACAGCTAGCTGTTAGGCAGATCATTAGTGCCATCGATTACAGGCATCCTGCACTAAGAACAAATTCTTCGGTAACCTTCGGACAGATGCGTAAATTGGAAGGCAATGGAAGCGCGACAAAGGTTTTTATTCCATACATTCCTTAACGGTTGCAAAATATTTGGTTGCAATAGTTAAGAAATGTGTAGAGATGCATGCTTCTGAAAACAAAAGGTGGAGAGACAGATGTAGACAGAGAGAGAGCCAGATCAACAGGCAGACTCACTCACTTACTCGCTCACTCACTCACTCACTCACTCCATCTCCCACCCACTCTTTCATTCTCTGTCTCCGCTAGCAATCAAAGATAGGAGACTCATTCGTTAGTGTCTCCAAACGTTGTAGTGATTAGATATTTTTTTAATTCTCTTTCCATTTATCAACTTATTACTAATTATTAATTGGACAGTCAAAAAAAAAAAAAAAAAAAAAAAAAAAAAAAAAAAAAAAAAAAAAAAAAAAAAAAAAAAAAAAAAAAAAAAAAAAAAAAAAAAAAAAAAAAAAAAAAAAAAAAAAAAAAAAAAAAAAAAAAAAAAAAAAAAAAAAAAAAAAAAAAAAAAAAAAAAAAAAAAAAAAAAAAAAAAAAAAAAAAAAAAAAAAAAAAAAAAAAAAAAAAAAAAAAAAAAAAAAAAAAAAAAAAAAAAAAAAAAAAAAAAAAAAAAAAAAAAAAAAAAAAAAAAAAAAAAAAAAAAAAAAAAAAAAAAAAAAAAAAAAAAAAAAAAAAAAAAAAAAAAAAAAAAAAAAAAAAAAAAAAAAAAAAAAAAAAAAAAAAAAAAAAAAAAAAAAAAAAAAAAAAAAAAAAAAAAAAAAAAAAAAAAAAAAAAAAAAAAAAAAAAAAAAAAAAAAAAAAAAAAAAAAAAAAAAAAAAAAAAAAAAAAAAAAAAAAAAAAAAAAAAAAAAAAAAAAAAAAAAAAAAAAAAAAAAAAAAAAAAAAAAAAAAAAAAAAAAAAAAAAAAAAAAAAAAAAAAAAAAAAAAAAAAAAAAAAAAAAAAAAAAAAAAAAAAAAAAAAAAAAAAAAAAAAAAAAAAAAAAAAAAAAAAAAAAAAAAAAAAAAAAAAAAAAAAAAAAAAAAAAAAAAAAAAAAAAAAAAAAAAAAAAAAAAAAAAAAAAAAAAAAAAAAAAAAAAAAAAAAAAAAAAAAAAAAAAAAAAAAAAAAAAAAAAAAAAAAAAAAAAAAAAAAAAAAAAAAAAAAAAAAAAAAAAAAAAAAAAAAAAAAAAAAAAAAAAAAAAAAAAAAAAAAAAAAAAAAAAAAAAAAAAAAAAAAAAAAAAAAAAAAAAAAAAAAAAAAAAAAAAAAAAAAAAAAAAAAAAAAAAAAAAAAAAAAAAAAAAAAAAAAAAAAAAAAAAAAAAAAAAAAAAAAAAAAAAAAAAAAAAAAAAAAAAAAAAAAAAAAAAAAAAAAAAAAAAAAAAAAAAAAAAAAAAAAAAAAAAAAAAAAAAAAAAAAAAAAAAAAAAAAAAAAAAAAAAAAAAAAAAAAAAAAAAAAAAAAAAAAAAAAAAAAAAAAAAAAAAAAAAAAAAAAAAAAAAAAAAAAAAAAAAAAAAAAAAAAAAAAAAAAAAAAAAAAAAAAAAAAAAAAAAAAAAAAAAAAAAAAAAAAAAAAAAAAAAAAAAAAAAAAAAAAAAAAAAAAAAAAAAAAAAAAAAAAAAAAAAAAAAAAAAAAAAAAAAAAAAAAAAAAAAAAAAAAAAAAAAAAAAAAAAAAAAAAAAAAAAAAAAAAAAAAAAAAAAAAAAAAAAAAAAAAAAAAAAAAAAAAAAAAAAAAAAAAAAAAAAAAAAAAAAAAAAAAAAAAAAAAAAAAAAAAAAAAAAAAAAAAAAAAAAAAAAAAAAAAAAAAAAAAAAAAAAAAAAAAAAAAAAAAAAAAAAAAAAAAAAAAAAAAAAAAAAAAAAAAAAAAAAAAAAAAAAAAAAAAAAAAGACCGACCATAGACCTAAAAATAACTGATTGGTAGCTGCGTGGCTTGTAATGATGGGTGTTATCAGTTTCGCAAAGTGCAAACATGACTTATACATGTACCGTCATATTACGTTACCGAGACCAGCTGATTTCCACTCCCAGGGATGCTTTGACCTTCTCTTGTCCTTCTACCCCTCCCTGATGCCTGCTTCTCTTGATTTACACTTTATTCATATACTTTTAACTGGGTGTGATATGGAAGTATATTACATGCTGGTTTACTCTATGTGCAGTGCAAACGGAATGAAGCGAGTGGAAATCTTGATATATCTCGGTTTTCAACAAATCAATTTCGATACAGGTGGTGATACATTTGTTTTAATAATACTTAATTTCTTTTTTTTCAGTTAGTTATTTTGTATAACTAGAAATATATATATAGAAAAGCGCTTAATAAGGCTTTTCAGTCAATAGTCTAATAATTGTTTCTCCCCCAAAATTAACCGAGAAAAATAATATTTATAATGTAGAATGAATCATTAGCTGTAGGACTGTTTATCACTAATCTGAAAAGGTTGGAAAGATAAACGACTCTTTGGCCAATGACGGAAGCTGACCTTTACAGAGTTTATTATTGAACCTGATGCGAATGTACACACATTCCAAGATTGCCGCCATCTTATGCAAGTTCTCATTTTTATGTCGTGGAATTCATCTTTTAGAAAATCAAGTTGATCAGCCGAAAAGACCACGAGTGTTCGCCGCATCCGCTGTACAACACGGAGGCATGTCGCTCTACCTGCCTTCATAAGCACGTTGTTCACCGTCACGGCTGCAAGTACGCCTTCGTGGGTTCTCTGTAGGGACAGCGGGGTATATTGAATACGATAAAAAACAACAAAGTAATGAAATATGCTACATGAATTGAACGGGAAAAAAATCAAAATAAGAATTAAGGGTTTGCTAGAAGAATAACTTAACTCTTCACGGATTTAAGAAAGAAAAATAAAAAACAATTGGAATCGAAAGGTTTACTTCCATAGGCTGCCATACATGGACGTGGAAGGCCCAGAATGCCGAACGCCCGAGAAGGTGAAGGCCGTCGAGGGAAGCATGAGGTACCTCTTCTTCAACGGGCACTTCAACTACACCCCCTGCGGCTGCGTACCCGAGTGCTTCTCCGCTCTCTACCGCCAGAACACCGACACCACGTGGAACACCAACAGGAACGCGATTATGAAGGTGATGGCGACAAGAATGTGGTGATTCTTTAAAGTTTGGTCTTTATTTTGGTTTTGGTATAAGTTTAGGTTCTTGTTTAGTTTTAGTTTTAGTTGATTTTATTTTGTAGTTTTAGTCTCCGTTTCACTTTCAGTTTTAGTTAATTTGATTTAGTTTTAGTTTCCGTTAAAGTTTAAGCCTGTCAGAGTTAGTTTTAGTTGTAGTTCCTTGTTAACTAATGCTCTAACATTCTGAATTTCCCATTCTTGAAATTTTAGCAAAAGGGTTGACGAGAATACGTAAGGAACCTGCGATAGATCTTTACCTGAGCCATAACAATAAATCAAATGTTTCCGGTGTATACTTAAGCTTGAAGCAGCTTGATTATTTTTCTTTTCTTATATTTCCTAGAAAGAAATTACATAAACGCCTTATAAACGATCCTTACATGTATTCAAATAATTAGATGAGCCAGTTTACGAAAATGGCTTCTTAGGTTGGTGGCGACCTCTGTGTCATTCTTATTAGAGCTGCTTTCTGGAGGACATTCAACTGTCAGCGAAATGACGTCAGACATAGGCTGCAGTTTAAAATAACAGGTATCCAACGCTTTTTTAAGACTTTACATCTCCAGGAGAATGTCACATGTGGAGCTGGCTTAATGAAATCGGTTGTTCCATTATTTTAAAAAGTCAGTGTAGGTTTACATGTACAGTATGTTTGTATTTGTTGTGGTTCATCGACAACACATTAAAGCATGGAATAAAACTAGATGCGCTTGGGAGTGACAGGGAGTCAGTATCAACATTTTTTTGTTGTTTTTCATTTTAGTTCTGTGAAACATTTCGTGTATTCAGTCAATTTCAACATCATTTATTATTCATGAACTAAATGTATCACCCCTACATCAAACAGCTTTTAGTTATTGCTAAAACATATGATTGGTAAAAACTGAAGCTTGTTCCGATCAGTGACTAGATATTTTCATTCAGATTCCGTTCTTCATCTTTAAGTTTGTTAGCGTATATCAGAGGCTTCTGTGTTTGCTGATCTTTAATACTTTTAGACCCTTTGCATTTGAGTGACGGTGGTGAGAGAGCTCCGGCTGGATAAGATTGATGGTTATGCACACGCACGCATAGGCATGCATAGACCATATACACGAGCATGAATGCACACACATACAGGCTCACACGTCCACTCTCCCCTCGCACTCAACACCTGAATTTCTTGCCATCTTTTGCAGGTGTATTTCGCAGGAACTGAGTACGAGGAGGTGGTGGAGTCGTACTCCTTTTCCTCCTCAAACCTCGTGAGCCGCATTGGAGGCTTCATGGGCCTGCTTCTGGGAGCGTCGGTCCTCTCCCTCCTTCAGGCTGGGGAGCTGCTCCTCCACAAGGCAAGGAGGATGCTCTACTGGGCCCTGTGCGCGGTTCTACGTGGCGAGACAGAATAGTATTCATTTCTTGTGAAGGTGTGGATGTATTTTGTAAAAAGGTATCCAGGTGTATCAAGTAACGTCAGAAGCTTTGAATGAAGTCTTAGGATGTGAAGATAATGTTATGGTGATCTGTGTTATTGGTAAATAAAACGTAGTTCCAGGATGCTTATAATGGTTATAGCAGGCATGATGTGAAGCTCATGTCAAATATTTGAAATGGTATTATTATATAATATATGGACTTTTCTTAATCCCTTTATTTTTCTAATTATCCTGTACAGCAGGTAGAAACTATTTTAGTTAAGCTATGGTATTCTTAACATCCTGGAATGTTTCTTCTTCTTATAAATCTATTCGTTGAATTATAATATGTGTGAAAATAGCTTTTTTTTCATATGAAATTGTTTTGTTTTCTGGCATACTTCATTTGGATAGAATTGACATCAGTTCCTGCTATCAGATATTGCCACTTATAAGGAAAATATGTTCTTTGTATACAGGTGTAATGCATACTGAAGTATTTATCTATTGTCAATATTTTTCTAGCTTTTTTAGTGTTATATATAGTTTTCAGCAATCAGCAATTTCTATGCACATTCTGAGGAATCTGTAAACATTTTTCACAGTTAGCAGTTGATGTTTGAATTTGTCATTGCATTTAACATGTATGTGTATATATGCATTTTCTTTAATATATATATATATATATATATATATATATATATATATATATATATATATATATATATATATATATATATATATATATATATATATATTTTTTTTTTTTTTTTTTTTTTTTTTTTTTTTTTTTCTTTTTTTTTCCTTTTTTTTTTAATAATTAACTACAGTTTTCACTGTATGCAGTCAAATGTATAGATTTTAAAAACAAAATCTAGTTAACATAATTTGTAGAAATCTTATGAACAGTTTAAAATAAAAGGAATTAAATCTTGTCAAAGCATTGATTTTTTTTTAATCACAAAGGAAAAAGGAAAGTCACGAGTTCAGCACATAAATTTATATTTTTTTCACACCTTTTTATTTACATGGATAACCTAGTCATGTCTAAACGGGACAACATAACGGATGTGCACGAGGATCATGATGAAACAGGTACCAAACAGTGTACATAATTTATAAAAATTTACATTATATACATCTAAAGAATTGAGTAGCTGTGACTCAATATAAACTAAATCAAATAAATACACTCTGAAACAAATACAGTACATCTGCCATATACACGAAAGAAACAGGCTATCAGAGCTTTTGGAATGGGCAAATGCATAATCAGTACTATGCCGTGACGCAACCCAGACAGGTAATGATGTACAAGTACTTATCACCATTCCTTTAATCACTTCATTATGTTTTCACTTTTTCAAGGTTCGCCATTCTGACACAAGCTGTTACCTTGTCAACGGCATTTTTTCCATTTGATCTTTGTCTTTAAAGCCCTTTAATGTAAATAGTTGAACTGCAAGCAATAAAAATTATATATCTATATTCAAACATATAAATGTGAATCTTTGGTTAGAGATGCCTCTCAGAATGAGGCAATGATTATATTCATATAAAGTATAGATTAAAAAAGGAGAATAAGAGAAAAAAAAAACATACAAAGAAATGAGGTGCTCTAGTTGATAGGTCAACTGTCAGGTTGTTCTTACAGCCTTGCAATATTCTTGTGCACAGGAAAATGGTGTGCAAGGCAGTAACTGGATAACCACAAAGAATGGATCAGAGAGAAAAAAAATTATGATACAGTTTAAAATATATATATATAGGTAAACACAGATATTACTGTTACTTGACATTGTTTGTTTGCTTTTACGTTGCTAATAACACTTCATAAAAAAGTCTCATTTCTGTGCTGAGTTAGTCCATCTTACCATAACAACTTTAGGTAAGTGGAAAAATTGAACTGTCTAAGAAGGGGGGAGGGGGAAATAAAACTTTAAAATACTAAAAATAAAAAATGATAAAAACTGAAATGTGGGGGAAAACGTCAATCTTTGGTGCCATTCTCTGCGATTATTTTCCCTCTAAACAATAATACCAACAGTAAGGCAGCATTGGCTATGGCATTTGGTAACTTTGATACAAAACAAGACAAAATATCATACTCTTCTTAATGATCACCTCATTAAAAAGCCAAATTTACATAAACATGATAAGCCATGATGAACCTTGCATGGTATTTGACTTAGGCTTATATCATGAGTGCAATCCAAGCCTTTATTAAAAAGAAAGAAAAAAATGTATGAGAGGCTCTATAACTTCTTTTCTCTTCAACATATAAACAGTATCTGATCAGCTTATCTTACTGACTTTTTTCCCTACATAGGCTAAGAAACTAGATGATGCACAGGGTTTGAGAAACGAACTAGAGAAAGGGCCACACAGCATACTAATTCCAGGCAGCATGTGATATGGAAAGGGCAGGGGAGGGGAGGGGAGGGCATAAGGAAGAAAGGGGGGAGGGGATAACACTTATAAAGGAGAATATTTTGCCATTACTCCGTATCAGCAATACGCTGATACAAAAATGTGTTACAAGTATATACCAGTATCAGCATTTCATCATATACAGCATTACCATGATAAATACTGGTGGTATCTATGATTAAGCAATAATTCTTTTTGATATGAAAAATAGGAGTCCACTGTTTACAATAGCCCTTAAATAAAGCTTCTTCTAACTCAGTGTCACTGAATACATATATATATTTTTTGTTCCATCCTAGCTTGATGTTCAACAAGAGCTGCTCTTGTAATCACTTGTGTCAGACAGCTGACTACCTTCCTGAGGCATATGCTTCAGGAGATTTTCTTGGCCCAGTTTCCTGAAACAAAAGAGAACACAGTTTAGTGACATCCCAGTGTAGGTCTTGGAAAAAGAGGGGTCTGAAGCCCAAAAGACTAGCAATGTATCACTAGAGTGAAGAATTATATGTTTAAGGCTGTTTTGTTAGAAAAGTGTGGAGCTGAATGTTACTGAGAAATTAGTTCCTCTGAACTATGTGCAGTTTCTACAAACTACATCTAAATGACTAACTGACCATATTTTAACACAAGAAATATCCAAGCAAACCTCGTATTGCAAATATGAAAGCAAACCTCATTTAATATCACAATCTACCCTCTTCCCTCCTGCTGCCATTCATGCTTCTAGAGAAGATGAATTTAAAAAATAATGTTCTCATTACAAATTAACTCCCTTAAACACCAGCCATGTTCTCGGAAGCGTCATGCTTTGGCCACAAATGAAAAGAAGTCTTCAAAATATTTAACTAATTTTGAAAATTAGGCACCAAGCAAGGCAATACAACATAAGCAGTGTTGACACCCTAATCTTGTAGCTTAAATAGCAGCAGACCCACCAATAAATAGTGCTTTCGCCACCAGCTGTGAGTGAGGTTAACCATGCAAAACCCAAAAAAAGCAAACACCAGCAATGCCTACGGGTGAGTAATGAAGTCTTGCAAACTCTGCGATGTGGGACGACTTACAACTCCCTGATGTGCTCAAGCGCCATGAGCAATTGGGTGTTGGTTCGATCCAAGGCATTGATCCGATCTTCCTGGGCTTGGATTACAGCGTCTTTCTCTTCCAGTTGTTCTGATAGTTTCAACTGTTCTATCCGAAACTGTTCCTGAAGCCTGAAATAAAAAAGCTTAGTTACACAGTGGTTTGTGAAAGTCATTTTCATGTATACTGATTAGGTTCTTCAACATTGTGAAACTAAGTTAAAAGTATACATAAAAATCAATACATGTGAATATTTACATGATACTCGTGTTTAAATACACATAAACCACTTACTTTTGCAACAAGTCCCTCATGTGAGCACCCTCTATCTCTGGATCTGCTCTCTGCTGCGAGTGCGAGTAGAGAGGATTTTGGTTGTTGTGACGGCCATGTTGGTGATGAGCCGAGGATTGACTCTGAGGACTGCTATTAAGGTGACTGTTTGAGTGGTGATGAGGGACTGGTTCGTGAGGGACACCTGACGGAACGACATCTGGGGCAGAAGCCTCAGGACGGGTGTGTATGTGTTCATCGGCAGCAACTAATTTGTGATGCATTTCTTCCATGGCCGTTCGCAATGCAAGAATTTCTTGCTCATACTGAAAGAGGGCAAAATATTTTAGAAAACGCATAATCATACACCAGTTGGCGTATTACTTTAATTAACTGTCATAAGAAGCATTTCAATATAATTCAGATAATATGAAGATTACTTACCTCTTCAAGGGTTTTCGTTTCTGACACTCTGTGATTGACACGCGTCGGGCGTACTCGCGCGGGAGGTGGATGCTGTTCGTCACTTGAGGAATCGCTATCGTACTGGTATCGATGTCGCCGTCCGCTGCCAACCTCTGCTGACTGCCGGCGTGTCATCTTGGTTCTCCGACAGTGTGCTCCTCCCAGTAAGTCTGAGGTAGAGTGGTGATGGTCGGGGGTTGTCCCTGGAACAACAGGGGGCTGACCCCATCCTGGCGGCAAGCAGCGGGGATTCGTGCGAGGAGCACCGGACTTAAAGGCTCTGTGCTCCAGAGGCGGTGTACACGCTAGGGACGTGCTGTCTTCACTGGAGGAAGAATGGGTCCGCTGGGGGCCTCGGCCAGGTGCCAGCCCCGCAGCAAGTGTGGACACAGACTGCAGGTCCTCAACGCTGTGGGCCGAACTGAGAGAGGAGCTAACTGGACTTTGCTGCTGCTGTGAAGTTTGGTGAAGGTGGTGATGGTGATGGAGGTGGGTCATCCGTGGACCTCGGTGGGGAACGGGTCTTGGGGAACTAGTTGCAGCATTTAGATGGTACATGGGGTTGTTGAAGGCAAGTGGTGCTGACATTTGTGGAGGTGTTAAGTGGGGAGATACATGGATCCCACCACTAGTATTACTGCTGCTACTGTTATTTGCTGCTGCGTTATTATTATTAGCAGCATCATGATGAGTTATTGAAGGGTCCACTGGGCTAGATGACTGACTATAAGCAAAACTCTGATACCCTGATGATGCCACATTAGACAGTTGCGAGATGGAGGTCTGAGAACCCTTCATGTTGGCCTCTGTCTCACCGGCAGAATTTCTGTCATTCTCCTCATGACTCATATCTAGAGATTCCTCTGGATTTCCATTTGGACCAATCTGGCCATTCTGATGAACCTGGCCATGCCCGTTCACTTGCGGGTGCCCATTGAACACCTGTCTGTTGTTGAACCAAGCAGCGTGGTTGTGAAAGTGGTGGTGGTGGTGATGGTTGTGGTTAGTGTGAACTGGGGAGGTGTTCTGTGCTGGAACTGGTGCAAGATGATTGTAACTGTAGCTGTGACCAATGGCATTTGGCTCTCTCGGCTTAGCATCAGGTTCCAGTGCTGAGAAAAGAACATAGTCATCAGCTGTATTCAAGTCAACAGCTGGCTTGCGTGCCGAACCCATCAAGTATGTATTTCTTGGCAGCGTGGAGGGTCGTGGTGTGGATGGGGTCTCAGGCGGCGGCTGAATGTGACTTATGGGAGGGGGAGCAACTGGACGATAATCTTCACTAACTGTTGGGTCATTGTACCGGAAAATGTTTCTCTGTAAGCTCTGATATCCAAGCTTATCCTCCATTCGGCCAGCGTCAGCAATATTGGTAGTAGGTGACACGGGTGACTCCACACTATTCTGAGATGACAACCGCCCCACAAGGTTGATGTTCGGCCGAGTCTGAGCCACTGAGATTTCATCTAGAAGCTCTTTCAGCTTATCCAAGTGCATCTGTTGCGAGACGCTGTTGTTGTTCTTTGAGGTGTTACTTGCCAACTTCCTCAGTGCTTCATTGAAGAATGTATGCAATGATGATAGCTCCTTCCCAATGTCAATATCTCTATCGTATTCTAACACTCGGTGGTCGTGGGTGGCAGGACTAGAAATTTGCTTGAGGAAAGACTTCATCTGTGCCTGCTCTAACTCAATAAATTCGTTCATGAACTCCATGAAATTCTCTTTACCCTGGAATTTGGTAAAGTTTGCAAGGGTCTGCAAAGTCTTGGCAATGAGCGTGAGGTTCCTTGAAGCCCTCTCGTCTGGGTACTCCTGTGTGATGTTGAACAACGACGGGGAGAGGATGGCTGGGCACAGGAAACGGAGGAAAATGGAAGCAGAGATCAGGTTGTCGCTGAGGCCCTGCTTACCAATGGATGCCAACTTTTCCCGGTACAGGCAGAAGCATTCCCTCAGTTCCAGGGGGAAGTAAGGGTGGGAGTTGAGAATGCGAGACCACGTCATGCGAACGACATACATGAGGTTTTCCTGTTGTTTCTGAATGGATGAAATCTGAGGCACCTTCATAGGGTCCACCTGAAAGAGAATTTATCAAAAATCAGCAAAGTCACACGAAAAAACATGCCTTATCATTTTAAAACAGCAGATGAATTCCATAACCTTAGTATCTAGCAGCTTACTTAGTCAACCTTCTAAAACAAACACACACTTGCGAATAACTCACCTCACAGTCGAGTCCATCTTCGACAACCTTGTTGATGACCTGCCGAAGAGTGTCTTGCAAATACTTGTCTCCCACTAGCTTCATGAATGCTTCCATAGCTTTTGTGGCCAGAGAGTTGCCACGGAAAAGTAGGTGAGAGTCATCTGTAACATAATAATGTGTAAATAAAGTATTTTAACTATAGCTAAACTAAATTAGGTTTATGAGTTTATAAATTTTTTTTTACCAAACTGCTGACATTATTTATAAATTCATACAAGTAATTCCCGTACTAAAGAAGCATACAGTCCCACCTCATACCAAGAACTCAGAACAGTAAAATCCTGAACTAACAAACAACATTCAGCAAAAGAATTAGACAACGCAAGGGGTTTAATTTACCTATTCTCTCAATCTCCATCATAACAAGATCAGCCAGAAAGTTGCGTGCCATGCCCTCCCTCTGCATGATGTGGACCAGGGCTGTTGCTATGTCCTCCTTGGACTTGACACTGATGGCGGGTTCCAGCAATTCGCAGATTACTCCATAGTTGGCCTTCACATACTGGAAATTACAAGTTTAAATGAGTGCATGATTTAAGGAATTAGTGTTTCCATTACATTTTACTATGTTTTGCCATTAGAAGCTCATGTGATAATACAATACGAAAATAACAATGCCCACGCAAAAATGGTAGGGACCAAACACGAAGACAAGCTGCCACCTTCGAACCCACCTGGATAAAATCAGAGTACATCTCCATGGGTAGAATATCAATTGACTGGAACTTGCACTTAATCCTTAGCGCTGCCTGGTCCTTGCTGGGAGCCCTGGCGTCGTTTTGTACTTGGTACCACTTTTCGATGAGTGAGCGGCTGTTCACATTGGCCACTGGGATATTCACGGTTCCCACCAGCACGTTCTTTTCCTGGAAGAGCAAACGACCAACATGTAGTTACACGAATAATTTCAACATTCAAATTAATACGACAAAAGCAGCAAATGGATACAATTATTCTGAGCAATTAAACAGTGCAATTCGCATATAAAACACACCTTCTTCCTCTTTTTCTCTCCTTCGCGATAGAGAGCAACGCTGATGTTCTCCACTGTGGGTAGACTGTGGAACTCAAACTGTTCTCCCCAAAAGCACATATCACTCTTTTGCTTGCTTGATGTACGTGCATAGAGTGCGTTGTCGAGAAGCAGTTCACAGAAGTACCTGGGAATAGGAAACATATATCATAATGAACAAATTTACACAGATTTTACACTGTTGGGGGGAAAATCTGCTTCAACCTCATATTTTCTGAATTCATTATAATACAAGAAAGCACGTCGATAAAAAATACCTTTTCTTGCTGCCGATTCCCTTCGCTTCCAGAATAAATATTTTTAGGGAGTTTTCTGTTCTCCGCACATTGTCATAATTCGGATTGACTGCCTTGCGGAGGGAGTCCACCCATCGGTCTCTCTCGTCAGCCGTTCTGCAGCTGAAATATCTAGTGCCGGTGGGGGACGTGACCTGCAGAGGAATAATGAATATAATGAATAACGCAAAAAAGCAAAAAAAAAAATAAATAATAAATAACATACACCCTTTGAAGTCTAAATAATCCAAGTTATAAACAATTAAAAGACAAGTGATAATATAAATGCATCGGTGACGAACTGCCTTACCTGGAAACAGTGCTCCTGACCAAGAATGCTGGCGTGTAGGGGTCTGATAGTCACCTCACCTGAAGAAGATAAACGAGTCATTAAAAACTAATCGAACAAACTCCAAAATAATACTCGAGCACAATGGCCAGGTTAAATTAAATGATTCCACGGAGGAAAAAAACAAAACAAAATCAAAACCATATTCCTTCAAAAGTCTTCCTTACCAGCTGCCAGGTCTAGCGTGTGCATCATATTGTGACTAGAGAGCAGGGACTCGTGAGAGCGGGAGGACCGGAGCCGCGTGTTGGAGGGCCCCAGGCTCAGAGGGTCCGAGTCCAGCATCCCGCTGATCCCTCCTCGGCCTCCTCTCTTGGTCCTCTCCAACTTGGTCACAGACTTGGTCCTCTTCAGGGGGTTACTCTTGAATGACCTCTTACTGAAGAAGTTCTGCAAAAAGGAAAAGGGTGTGAGTTCGTGGCTCGACGGCGCCTCTTCTCCGTGCCGTGCTCGGAGAAGGCAATGATGTCACGTGTAGGGATATGGAGACATGCTTTTCGGGAAAGTTTGTTTGGTTTGCACGTTCGGTATTAAGCGATGATGTTGACAAATAAATATCTTTAATTTCTACTACTACAAATGGTAAATGGTAATAACCTATTGTAATGCACATTTCCTCTCGTATCACTTCGAAAACAACCTTCACCAACCACCTTGCGTTCGCAACCCGAGTGTGCCTTCCTCCCGGTTCGAGGGAGAACTGAGACGGCCAAGGAAACAACGGCAGTGACGCAGCGGCACAGCCGGACATTCAAGACAGGATGTTGAGGTCAAGGTATCACAAAGGAAACAAATGGTACACTCGACGCCGCGCGACGATCGACGGCATATCAGCCGCTCATTAAGATGCCGAAGATATATCGCCCTCCGGTCGAGTTTTTATGCCATAGGAGCCGTTGCGCTTGACGACGATCCTGAAAGGCACCGCCTCCATGGGCACAAGAAAAAGGCTAGCGGAACCGAGAGCAACAAAGGGCGCGCGTGTGTCGGGGACAGGAAATGTAGCCCTGAACTACATAAGAAGTCCCACCGGTTTAAAACTTTCCCTCCTGGTAGGCCACGTTCCGCCGGAAAGACATTACGATTACGTGTAACGACTCCGTAGCTCGTGCCCAGACGTGCCCGAGGGCCATCACGCTCCGGGGCGCCTGGCTCATTTATAATACAGCTGCTGATGACTGTAATAACACGCAGGGCTGCCGATCCACTTCCTCCGCCGCGGGGGATTGGGCCGTCGAGGGGCACCGAGCGAGCGACACGAAACGACGAAGATACGCGAGGAATTGTCAGACCAACGGAAAAGGGCGTGTCGCAAGAACTCGACCGAAAGTCAACGCTAAAATTTTCCTTCTTCGCTATTAAGTCTCGAAATAATAAATAAAGATATCGAAGAAAAATGCCCCATGCGTGCCTTACTTACAGGAAAAACTCCTATAGGGTTAATCCAGCGGACAATGGGTGCTCGCGTTACGTTATCAACTGTCCGTACTTTTCGAACGTCACGTCCGCGCGCTCTTACGGAATGTGAGCAAAAACGGAAGAAACACAAAAGATAATTATCGTTATGTTTATTATTAACATTCTAACAAGAAACCTTTCTGAATCAACATCCTCCCCGCTGGCCATAACGCGTGACCTGCACAATCGCTTCGCCGAGTTTGAAGGTCACGCCGTTCAAAAAAGCCACGACATGTTGATGCAGAGACGCGAACGCAAGGGACTCATGCCACGCGCTTGGCCTCGACGCCGATGTC